TGATCCACACAGTCAAATGCCTTTGCATAGTCAATGAAACACTGCTAGACATTCCTCTCATGCTCTCTATTTTCTGTCAAGATCCATCTGACATTAACTATAATATCCCTAGTGCCATGGCCTCTTGTAAATCCAGCCTGCACTTCAGGCCAAATGATATTTCCCAGTCTGTAGGTTTTCTTTTCACTCTGCTGGAAAATGTTTTTGACATGCACGGAGTTTTAATTCTTAGAAGGTTTCATTTATTAATTTTACCCTCTAGAGGTTGTACATTTCTGGCTGTATTTAGCAGTCTCTTTATACCATAGAGTAGGCCTTCTAAGCTTGATCCCAGTTGATGAATTTTATGATTTGGGGCTTTACTCCCAGGTCTCTGATCCACCTTGAGTTTATTTTTGTTTTTTATGTGTGTTATGGACTCTCTTTCCAATTTCTGCAGTTAGCAATACAGATTTGCCAGCACCATTTGTTGAAGAAGTCATCATTTCCTCACTTAATACGTTCTATTTCTTTGTTGAATATCAATTGACCATGGGTAGATAGGCCCATTTCTACGTTCTTAATTCTATTCCATTGTTCTGTGTGCCTGTCATTATACCAGGGCCATGCTATTTTGGTTACTACCACTTTGTAGTAGGTTTTGAGGTCAGGAAGTACTATGCCTCCCACTTCATTTATATTTTTCAGAAGGGATTTCCACATTTTTCATCATTCAGTTTTCTGTTTTCCCTGTCTCCTCTCCTGTTCTGATATTCTTATCACGCATATGTTGTTCCTTTTAATTTTATCCCACATGATTCTGAGGTTATCTTCATTTTCCTTCCATCTTCTCTCTGTTTTTTTCTTCTAGTAAGTTCCCATTGAGGTTCTTGTCATCTAGTTTTCTGATTCTCTGTTTCCTCTCTTTTGTTGGTTTTTTTGATTGTTGTTTGGTTTTTGTTTTTGTTTGTTTGTTTGTTTGTTTGTTTTCCCTCTAGCATGTTGGATAATTCTGCCTTTTCGATCTTGATATTCTGGATTGCATTTTTGTTATTTATAGCACTGTGTCAGTTTTACCCTCCATATTTTGGGATCATTTTTATAAATTCTGTACCTCTTTATTTCCTCTGGAAATTCTATGAACTTGGAGAAACAATGAAAGTTATACAAGTGTTCATGTCTTTAGTTCATAGGGTCACTATGAGTCATCTATGACTTGATGGCACTTAACAACACCAACACCAACATAGAGAGAGCTCTGTGGGCCTGGTGGATAGAAAGTTATGTTACCAGGTCAAAGATGGGTGATTTTAATGTGTGGTCCTCAGGCCTGGTTTTAATTGGTTTTGGTCAAACATTCTTCTACTGGTCTGTCAATTTGCTGTACAGAAGTAACTCATGGTTGCTGTGATGCTAAACACTGATGTGACACCGATGTGTCAAATTAATATAATGGTTACCCAGGGTGGATAGTGTTTGGTGAAGCTCCCTAGTTAAAACGAACTTGGAAGCAGGAGTGTCTTCCACTTCCAAAATATCTTGCCTTCGAAATAGCTTTCCTCCAGAAACTCAATGAACTTGGAGAAATGGTGAAAGTTATACAAGTGTTCAGGTCTTTCATTCATAGGGTCACTATGAGGAGTCTATAACTTGATGACACTTAACAACAACAGCCTCTTTATGGTTTTAATTCTTCCATCAGTAACCAGGTTTCCCTGACTGAAGTATTCCCTCTCCACAGAGAGGAGGGACAACTCCCTGTACCTCTAAGCACCCTTTCTGGTCTCACACAGCCTGGCAGGAATATGTCTATTAAGATGATACCTGGCATTTTATTAAGCATATAGTTCATTGTTATTTTTATTGTTATGTGCCATCAAGTTACCTATATCTCATAGTGACCCTATGTACAACAGCTCTGAAGCCTGCCCTGTGTCCTGAGCCAGTTTCAACTCATTTCAACACACCTACTTTCATGACTCCAGTTACGTTATCAATCCATTTCACCTGGGATCTTGCTCTCCTGTGCTGTACCTTTACCTGTCCAAGCATGATATCCTTCTCAAAGAACCGATCCCTCCTGGCCACATACCCAAAGTATATGAAACAGAGCTTCAAAATCCTAGCCTCCAAGGAAAAACTTGGTTTCACCGTTTCCAAGACAGACTTACTTGTTTTCATGATGGTCCATGGTATGTTGAAGACTCTTCTCCAGCACCAAAATTCAAAGGCATCGATTCTTCTTCTGTCATCTTTAGTCATTGTCCATCTTTCTGAAGCATAACAAGTAATTATAAAGACTATGTCCTGGATCAAGCACACCATAGTCTCTCAACTAACATCATTGCTTTTAAGCACTCTGGAGAGGTCCCTGACAGCAGATTTTCCCAGTGCTATTTGTCTTTTGATTTCTTGTCTGCTGGTGTCAAAAGTTTTGATTGTGGAGCAGAGCAAGCTGTAATTGTCAACAACCTCAATCTCTTCTCCATCTATCACAGTGCTGTCAATTGTCCCAGTGGTGAGAATCTTTGTCTTTTTTATGTTGAGCTTCAATCCGTATTGGAAACTACAGTCCTTGATCTTCTGCATCAAGTGCTTCAGGTCCTTCTCTGTTTTAGCAAGCAAGGTTGTGCTGTCTGCATATCGTAGGTTGTTGATGAGTCTTCCTTCACACCTCACGCCACATTCTCTTCCTAGAGCCCAGCCTCTGAAATGATTGATTGAAACGATATGGTGACAACACACATCTCTGATATTCCCCTTTCCTGATTTTGAACCATGCAGCATTTCCTTGCACTGTTCTGAGGACTGCTTCCTGGTCTGAATGTAGAGTTTGCATGAACACAATCAAGTGTTCTATGATTCCCATTCTCCTCAAGGTCAGCCCCAATTTGTGATGATCCATTCAGTCAAATGACTTTTCATAGTCAATGAAATACAGATAGACGTTTCTTTGGCACTCTCTGCTTCCTGCCAAAATCCATCTGACACAATAATGTCTCTAGTGCTATGATCTCTTCTCTACCCAACTTGTTCTTTTGGTAGTGCTCTTTTGAGTTCCGGTTGTTCCAGTTGTTTTTGGATCATCATCATCAGGATTTTGCTATCATGTGATTTAGTGATATGGTTCAATGATTTCCACAGTCTGTTGGGTCACCTTATTATTTTTTTTTTTAATGAGGATTAATATGGATCTCTTCCAGTCAGTTGGCCAGGTAGTTGTCCTCCAGATTTCCTGGCACAATCTTGTGAGCATGGCTAGAACAGCATCTGCTGAAATATGCCAATTGGTATTTCATCAATTCCTTGGGCCTTGTTTTTTACCAAGTCCTTCAGAGCAGCCTGCACTTCCTCCTTCATCACCATTGTCTCTTAATCACACATTGTTTCATGAAATTATTCTGTGTCAGCCAATTCTTTTTGGTACAGTGACTCTGTGTACTTCTTCCATCTTCTTTTAATGCATCCTGGATCAATGTTCTGCCCACAGCATCCTTAAGCATTACAACTCACGGCTTGAATTTGTTCTTTTGTTCTTTCAGCTTAATAAGTGCTGAGCAAGTTCAACCCTTAATAACATATAAATCAAAGTTTAAATCTTCCTTTATAAAAAAATGGATTTTTTTCATAGACTTCTATAAAACAGATGTAAATATGACTTTTTTAGTCATAGCTTTGTTGTTCAATATTAGAAAGACATTATCTTAAAATTTTAAAATCATTCTACATTTTAGAATGAAAATATTTTGTTATTCTCACACAATGACCCATCTTGATCATATTTTAATAATTACTCAAATATAAAGAGTTCATGATTTTATTTTCATTTTACATTATCAACTTTTGGTCAGTGAAGATGAGGAAGATCCTCAATGAGACGGATTGTCACCATGACTACCACAATGGGATTGGATGGACCAGGGTGACGAGGACGGCCAGGATGGGGCAAGGTTCCAATTTACTGTTCATATAGACCACTATGAGTTGTAGTTGACTTGATGGCACCTAACAACAAAAACTTCAACTGTACGGTAGTGTTATTTTTGGACACTAGTTTTAATTTTATATCTCCCTTGCTAGATCTTTGATGAATTAAGTAGGTATATTTATATTAAAAATTTTCCAATTAAGTAACATTGTTGAGAATTCATTTCATTAAATATTTTATCACAAAATGTGGGCGTATTTATCCAGATAAATGTCAACCTTCTTGAATATCCTATTAAATAGTTACAATTTTCTGTTAAAAAATTAAAAGTATAAACTATTAATTTGGTCTTCAAGATGTATTTTTTTGTTCTTTCACTTAAAGTTAAACCACATTAAAGTCTAAACTAACTCTAAATAGTGGCTTGCTGTCAATTAAACAGCACTGTTGCACCCAGTGATGGCATGTTATGTTTTTCTGGTTTGTCCCCTTGTAGGGCCTGCTTCCAGAGCCCCTGTCCATGCACAGTCCTTCTGTGCAGTTTCTCCGAGCACTGTGGATGAAGACCCAAGCAGAGGGTGCTCAAAGCTTTGAAACAGCTATAATGGAGTCCACTTTTCCACATCAGAAGGTACATGTTCCTTTCCTGTTGTTTGTTGCTATGAAGTTGACTTCCACTCTTGATGACTTTGTGTACAGCAAAACAAGCTATTACCTGGTCTGGGCTCATTTTCACAGTGGTTGGTATGCTTATGTCCACTGTTGGGTGTGCTGTGTATTCTAAGTGCCTCCCAACCTACGAGGTTCATCTTCCAACAAGATTTCAGAGAGTATTCTGTCGTAATCCATCGAGTTTTAAATTGCTGATTTTTAGAAATCCAGATGTGATGGCATAGGCATCATAGTAGCATGCAAGCACCCACAAAGGACAAATACGGACAGATACGGGGTAGGCTGCTTTATTAGGACATGTACTTCAGATAACCAAGGTTATCTAAAATAGTTTGCCTTTTCTAAATAATTTCATTTTGTGCTTCATTATCAGTTATAATTAACAGTTACTCGGAAATTATTTTCAAGTAGGGCTATAGTGGAGGCCTTCTGGGACTCACAGCCTGATGTAATGCATGCCACATAGACACATGCAAAACTACACACACAGTAGAGACTAGAAAAACATCCACAGAAAAAAGATTGTGAACTCTAGGATTGACAAAGAAAAAAGCAGCAGGAAATCTGTCTCTGGGCTCACATCTTTGCTCCCTCTCTGTGACCTCTGCAGTCACCATTGGGGAAGAAAATGGTGCTGTGAGTCAGGCAGAAGAGTACAGTGTGAGAAAGAGCTCTGATGGCACAGACAAGGACAATTTGAGGCCCAGAGGATGTGGGGAAAGTGAGAATATGGTATCATTTTCAGGGCCCCATTTATGAAGGCTTCCTGATTATAATTGAGCTGAGTATCTTAGTTATTAATAAAAAAAGACCACAAGTAAGTACCTTGACAGAACAAAACTTATTTTCTCATAGTTGAGAATGCGAGAAGTTCTTATTGACATTGCTGTAGGGAAAAGGCCTTTGCTCAGTTTAGCTTCTAATTGTGTTCACATTTTTAGGTGCGTTGAGTTGAGCATGAGTCACAGCAACCCTATTAACAATAGATCTGAACTCTGTCCTGTCCTGTGCCATCATCATCATTTCTGACATACTTGAGTCCATTGCTGCAAGCATTGTGTCAGTCTATCTGGTTGAGGGTCTTCCTATCTTCCATTGTCTCTCCACCTTTCCAAGCATGAGGTCCCTTTGCAAGGAATAGCCTAATGATATGTCCAAAGTATGTGAGCTTCTAATAGCCAACAGTGATTGGAGTTTCTGAACTAACAGGAATGTCTGCTATGTACAGCAGTTTTCAATGGCATCTATCCCCCTCATCCATGTCTCTATTTCCATTTTGTTGTTGTTGTTGTTGATTGCCTTTGAGTCAGACATGATTCATAGTGATCCTGTGAACAAAAGGCCTGAAGCCCCTCTACAGCTGTCGACATTTATCAAAATTCATGCAGTTTCCAGCCTGTCTTCTTAAAACTCAGAAATGAGTAGTTTAAGATACACTCTACACTGGCAGAGAACCATTTCCAAAACAGGGCCAGATACAAAGACTAAGATTGCAACATATATTTTGTTGAGGGGGTGAGGGCACATGCTACACTAGAAAAGGATCAGAATATAATAAAAAAGTAGTAGCAGGAGTGACATCCACATCCTAAACAACATGTCTCTGGAAACTATGAACTTAGAGAAACGACAATAATTATAGAGCAGGGGTTAGGTCTTTTGTTCATAGGGTCACTATGAGCCATGCTTGACTCGATGGCAATCAACAACAACAGTAGAGGTGCACCAACATAATTAAATTGGGTTTGAGAAATGTCACAAACCTAGACTTTTAGATAGTAGAGACGATGAGAGGAAGCCTGCTGGAGACAGGAGTGGCATTATGGAGACTATCACTGTAGACAGGCATTTAAAACCTGAACTAGCAAAAAAAAAACCCTGAACTAGCAGCAGGAAAGCTGTAAAAATATGATGAATTGGAAATCTTCAAAGGAAGCAAAATCAACAGGACCTGATACTTAATAAAGAAAATCAGGGACAACTCTTGGGGGTACCATTTGGCCAATGCATAGTGGTGCCCTCTTGAAAGAAGACAAACCATTCTGCTTTGTATACTTTGAGTCTCAGTTGTTTGATGATAGTGGTTAATAGTGCTAATTTGGATTTCAGGACAAAGATATGACTAGAGAGCTTGATTTGGAGACCACAACTCAATCTCTCAGAGAGAATAGATACAATGAGCGTTTTGCTGTTAGCTCCTGTTGATATACCAATGAACTCATGGCATCTCTGGCCTGTGCCTTCTCAATGACCTGTTGCAAATTGGACTGTTGTGATCTAACAGGATTCTCACTGACTGACTTTTGGAAGTAAATTGCTGGGCCTTTCTTTATAGTGCCTCTTAGCCTGAAAGTCCCTCTAAAACTTGTTGAGCATAATAGCCACATGCAAGCCACCATGGACTGACAAAAAGTGTCTACACAGAAGGCATGTTAGCTTCTATGGACAGACAGAGAAACTTTATTCTTGATCTCTTCTTTGTAAATATTACCAGCTTCTCTTTGTTTTTGTTTTTTGTTTTTTTTTTTATTTGTGTGTGTGTACCATCCAATCAGATCTGACTGGTACAGGAGGAGATTGTCCCTCCTTCCCCAGCAGAGCATCTGGTGGATTTAAACCACTACCAGTTTCTCTTTTTAAGCTCTTCACATTCTCTAAGTCCATTATTAGTCTCATTTTGCTTTCAGGAAATCCAACAATAGGTACTGTTTCTTGCTGAGTAAAGCTAAGGTGATCTGAGAACGTGCAGGAATTATCTCTAATCTTAATTTTACAATTGTGGAAAGAACAAACATTCCAATGTTCAGTAAAGTGCAAACAAGTAGAAAATTGATTTTTAAACTATAATATTGTGAAATTAACTTTAAACCATGTGCTGAAAGATTGTAAGAGGATGAGACATGAGCATGATTAATCAGTTTATTTATAAGGGTCTGAAAGACTGAAAACACATCCAACTGTTGTATCATTATTTTTTGGCTTTGGTTTAAAAATTAGATGTGCAATGTTAAAAATAAAAGAAACACCACAATTGCATAAGTGTAAACCGAAATACAATTCTGTACATATTTCATCCAAATTTTATATCTGTTGCATCACCTTTAGAGACAATGTTTCAAATTCCTTTCAATTATTATAAATTGAAACTTGGCAGGTGACCTCAAGTCCTAAAAGATGAAGAATAGAAAAATGTTGGCAAGCCAGTTTTTTAAATGCTTACAAGTATGATTACTCATATTTCTTCTAATTTGCATCAATGAATACTCCTCAAGGGAGAACTAACTGTAAATCCAGTTTTCTGAAATTTTAGAAGTTTTATAATTTCCTTTATTTGTGAGTAATGGGGAAGGAAACTTTGATATCTGAAATATACATTATGTGGCAAAGTGATCTGCATATTCCTTAATCAACTTGTCTTGTTTTTCCTGAAGTATTTTGAATCTTCAGTTCTAAAGGGTAGTGAGGGTAGTCCAAAACATACTTTAACTTGTATATATTTAGTTATATATTCATATATGTGTGTATGTATTTATGATTTTTGAGGTGATGGATTTCTGTACATTTGAGGCTCGTGACAGAAATTACACTGTAGCCAAGTGGATTGAGATACTCAAGGAAGAAAAATGAATTATTAAAGAAATGTTTGGGTCTCTAGACTGTAAGACCCTTGAAGTTTTGTTACTGTGATCATTTTTTGACGGAATCTTAGGATTTTAGAACTGGAAATCAAATTCTAAGCTATTGGCTGTATGCACTATGCCTTATTTTTTTGATTGTCACTGTCCACAGAGTCTCTAGAACATGACAAAAGTATATATAATAAATAACAACTGATTAATAAATAAGCCTATTTTGACTTACACATTCACCAGAGTAATTAAGCTGGTCTATTCAGAAGCCATAGAAGTCTGGCTCTGCCACTTACCAGCTGGTGACCATTGGCTTTGTGCTCCAGTTTATTTATCTGTAATAAAGGAGAGGATAATAGTAATATCTCACAGAGCTACCTGGAGGATTGAAGAAATGATGTATACGGACCTCCCAGGACAGTGTTAGGGCACACTGTAACCATTTTCTTATCAATATGAGCTGATATTCCCAGTCCTGGTCTCTTTGTCTCTTTCTGTTGGTTACATTCAGAGAAGTTCAGAGTGGAGCAGAAAGATAACAGATTAATAATCACTCAAATTGTGCTTTTCTAGTTTGATCAAATGAACACTATCAGAAAAATTTCTCCAAATTCCAAAAATGATTTTTCAGTATGCAAATCAAATTATCACTTGCAAACTTTCAAACTGTCTCACTTAGAAGTAGAGATGCAGAAAGATAAAGGTAAGCAATCCAATTGAAAAATGGGCACAGGATGTGAACAGACACTACAAAGAAGACACCAGATGGCCAACAAGCACATGAAGAAATGCTCAAAATCCCTACCTCTAAGAGAGATACAAAGCAAAACAACTATGAGATATCATCTCACCCCAGTAAGAATAACAATATTTAACAGAACAGCAAACAGTTGCTGGTGAGGTTGTGGAGAAACTGGAACCCTGATTCACTTTTGGTGGAAGTGTAAAATGGTGCAACCACTGTGGAAGGCAGTATGGCGTTTTCTCAAAAAGCTGCAAATAGAGATACCATTTGACCCAGCAATTCCACTACTGGGAATGTATCCCAAAGAGACCATAACCACCACCTGAGCAGATATATGCACACCCATGTTTATCCTGGCTTTGTTCACAATAACAAGGAGTTGGAAACAATCTAAGTGCCCATCAACAAACAAATTGACAGAGAAGCAGTGGTATAGTCACACAGTGGAATACTATGCTGCATTGAAAAACAAGGAACTCATGCAATAGTATTCAAAATGAGTGACCCTGGAGGACATTATGCTGAGTGAAATATCTCAGCCACAAAAGGATAAATACTGCATGGTGCCACTGTTGTAAAACAGGA